CTCTATGAATGGATCTTGCACTTACTATACAGGGGAGTTCCATATGTAGGGGCGCTGCAAACTATACCCTGAGACAAGTCATTCCTGAGCCTGAACTGGCAAGACATCTGAGGTAATTACCTGTAAATCCTAAAACAGGTCCAGGCCAATGAACCAGGTTCCAGCCAATCTATAAGCAAGGGATTAACTAGAGGCAGGTTATACAGGCTCCTAACGAAAGCAGACACCCCAGCTGACTCACTGTTGCTATCTTATTGGGAGGATTAACAGATGTTCAGAAGTTCTGACAGTCTCCTACAACCTGTGCCCATTCCTTCTCCTGCACCAGCTGGCTCCCCTCTTATCCTGACACAAGTGAAATTCTGGTCCCCTGGAAGTTATTAGGAATTTTATCACTGGTTTTGATAAGACCAGGATTTCATCCTAGAAATTCAGATGATCTGACCATTATTATTACTCGACCTAATTGGCCATAAATGACTAATAATCAGTACAACAGTGGAGATCAAACTCAGTCCAAAAAAGGCCACGTTACCCAACTGTTCCTGACACAAGTGAAATTCTGGTCCCCTGGAAGTTATTAGGAATTTTATCACTGGTTTTGATAAGACCAGGATTTCATCCTAGAAATTCAGATGATCTGACCATTATTATTACTCGACCTAATTGGCCATAAATGACTAATAATCAGTACAACAGTGGAGATCAAACTCAGTCCAAAAAAGGCCACGTTACCCAACTGTACGGTGCAACACAATTAATGTATATATAATAAAGCATTATCTATAATGCGAGTTCATCCTAGACTTCTTCAAAGAAATCTTCTGACTTTGGCAGCAGACATATTCAACAGAGAATAAAGTGAAATGGTTTCCAGACACATAGAGGAAGTTTCAGGAGACAATAACCCCACTCTGCATGTCTGATGCTGTTCTGAGAATCGTTCTCTTAAGCTCCTGTACAGATCTAAGGAACCTCTCTACAAATATTCCACTAGGGTTAAACATATTGAAAGAGCTTCTGAGAAAACTTTTTTGGCTGAGATTTTCAGAGCCATGTTCAGTTGTACAACTCCCTTTACAAATAATGAAAATAAGGCATCCAAATCACCTGAATTTGAAAATTGCCGCTTTTGCATATCTGCTGATGACAATACTTCTGAACTACTCCTTGCAGGAGAAATAACAGGTAGTTCGATTTAGGCTTTTAATTCAAAATACCAGGTCCCTGCCGCATGTAGACATGGGCAGTTAGTCCGGACTTGTAAATTTCAAAAATGGCGACCGGCCGGGAAGATGCAAATCAAGCGCGGGATATTTAAATCCCGGGCTTGATTTGCAACTTTGAATGCCTACATTAGCCTCCCTAATTCAAACTAGGGGGCTAGAGTAGACATACCCTAAGGTAGAAGGTCACTCATATTCATCTTTATATATGTATAATTATTTAAATTACAGAAATCATTTAGTCTACATGCTTTCTAATCCAATGTCAGTTTTAAAGTACTTTTCTAATTTAAAAAACAACGTGTGGATCATCTGTATAGTATAATCCCCACAGTATATGACACTTACCACTTTTACCTTTCTTGCCTATGGAATCCTTAATTCTGCTTGTTTACATTTCAGAGCAGGTTACAAAACTTCATAAAATAGACACAAAGTTAATTTCATGCCTACCCAATGTTTATTTACAAACACTTAACAATACAGTAAACTTCCGATAATCTGGCACCTTTAGGACCCGGGGCTGCCAGATTATCAGATATGCCGGACTATCAAAAGGGGGGGCTATGAGGGGTCTGGAGTGGGGTGGGAGGGGTGCCACTCCAGACCCCTCAGAGCCCCCCCTTGTGATAGTCTGGCTCTGCCCCAGGCGTCCCCGCTTCCACCGCCGGCGG